ATCCTGGAGAAATTCACTAAACTGCTCTACTATGGAAGGAAGAAGGCAAGTATGCCCTTCCTCCACGCTTGTTGTAGAAACATAAGCCCCATCCCTTCCCACCACTCACAGCTCCTGCAGTTACAGGACTAGTCCACACTCATTTTAGGGAGCACATGAGAAGTTCAGGAAGGTACAAAGGAGAAAACAAAAACACCCGTAGTCCTCCTATTAAAAGACAACGAACACCTGTTAACACTTTGATATGTTTACTTCCAGCATTTTTCTATGCATATATATTAAAAGTAAAATAAAATTACATATACAATTGTTTATTTCTTTTTTTTAACTTAAGATTATATGGTGAGATACCCCCATGGCATTAAATATGCTCCAGTAGCACTATTTAAAAAGTGCTGCATGATATTCCATCATACGAATGTATCGTATTTTATTTAATCAATCCACTATTATTGAATATAGAGGCCATCTACAGTTTTGTCAGCCATTATGAATTATACCATCTGCACATCCTGTTACTTAAGTCTCTGGCTGATCTTTTAATTTTTTTAGGATAGATTTCTAGAAGTGGAAATATTGGGTTAAAACATATGCACTTCAAAAATATTCTTTATATTATACCATATTAGTTTGCAGAAAGCGTGTTTACAAATGATACTCTTGCTACTATCTAAGGTTTGCCTGCCAGTATCAAATACAGGTGCGTCTCGACTTACAATGGGCTTGCGTGCCGGTAAACCCATTGGTAAATTGAAAATATCGTACGTCTAAATGCATTCAATGCACTTAACCTACCGAACGTCATAGCTTAGCCTAGGCTGCCTAAATGTACTCAGAACAATTATCTTAGCCTACACTTGAGCAAAATCATCTAACACAAAGCCTGTTTTATAATCGAGTGCTGGATATCTCATGTAACTTACTGAATGCTGTACTGAAGGTGAAAAGCAGAGTGGTGTGCAGGCGCTCAGAGGACCGCGTCTCCTGCATGTGTGTGGCTTTCCCACCATCACGGAGTGGAAAAGTCACGAGTTGGGAACTGTCTGTACTTTAAACAGATGGAGAGTGATGTCTGGTTTAATTTTTAAGTTGAGATCACACTTTATAAAATTCATAAA